GGCTATTTTTTGGTTGCAGCCGTCATTGTTGTTTGGCGGGTCCGGGCTGGGGATTCGAACCCGCCACCTTAGGTGTACGTGGCTGGCACCTTAGCCAGTTGAGCTATAGGCGCCGAGCCTAAAAGGTAATTTGAATCAGGCTCCATGCCTGTAGCTCAGCATCTAAGGCATTCAGCCACATACACTGGAGCTGGCCGGTTTGAACCCAGCCTGGGCCTGCTAAACAACAATGACAACAGCAACAACAACAACAAAAAATAGCCAGGCGTTGTGGTAGGCATCTGTAGTCCCAACTACTTGGGAGGCTGTGGCAAGAGAATCATTTAAGCCCAAGAGTTTGAGGTTGCTGTGAGCTGTGACACCACTGCACTCTAATAAGGGTGACATAGTGAGACTCTGCCTCAAAAAAAAGGTCATTTGGTTCATACCATCACAATTGTATGACTATAATGATTGCTTTGGAAATTAAGCTTAAAAGTGAACTATCATTTCATTTAGAATGATTATCTAGAACTTTTTTTCTTTTTCTTTTTTTCTCTTGTCTTAACCTTAAACATCTCAGTAATTTTCTCTATAATATTATACCTAAGCTAGTCTAAGACTGAATGATTATTTTTAGTTTAAGTAAGTCAGCTTTGATTCATCTTTAGCTTTGATTATGACTCATCTAAAACAGGTCTTATCCTGATCTTAAGGATACCCAAAGAGAATCAGTCTCTCTGTTGCAGGATTTAATAGTTTCTATGCTTCTGTCCCTTCTCCCTTTTACTTCCTCCCGTTGTTCAACTAATAGTTATTGAATGGCTTCTGTGGGCACTGGGTTTGGTGTAGGACACTGAAAAACAGAAAAGAGACGGACTGTCCCTCTGAGATACTTGGAGTTTTTAGTGGTATAGATAGACAAGTAAAAGACTGTTGTGATTCAGTGTGGTCACTGATCTGGCAGGTCTGTCCACGTGAATTTGATGAAGCACCAAAAGGGGAGGGAAGGAGATGAGACTGCTTCTCCAAGGAAAAGAGAAGCATTGAATCTTGTTAAAAAGTAAAGGGGAAGGGGAGGACCTGGCCTGGGTAGAACTGCAATGTATAGAGAGAGGCATGAAGGGGTGTAAAAGTATGTCCATTTTCAGGGTTCTCTGAGTAATTTGGTATGGCAGGTATATAGCCTGCAGGTGGGATGAGAAATGATGCCAGACAGGAAAATAGGAGCCTGCTGAGGCCTTACCTACCCTCCTGAGTTTAGACTTTATTCCAAGAGCAGTGAAGATATTCCACTAGATGGTGACTTGCTTACACCTTTTCTTCAATCATTTGAGTTATTTTATGTTTGCCTTTTTTTTGCCTCCATGGAAATAGGGAATCTTTAAACACTATTGTATGTGTAAAATTACCCTTACATTTATATTACATTCAATTGATTTCTCTTTTTGGAGTCCTGACAATTGTAATATTTCACAACTAGTCTTAATTCTGTCTTTTAGTGAAACGGTAACATACTGTTAACATTATCTGCACTCTATGTCAAATCTACCCTTAAAAACTCAAGATTTGGGCTCGGCGCCTGTGGTTCAAGTGGCTAGGGCGCCAGCCACATACACCTAGGGTGGCGGTTTCAAATCCAGCCTGGACCCACCAAACAACAATGACCGCTGCAACCAAAACATAGCCGGGCATTGTGGTGGGCGCCTATGGTCCCAGCTACTTCGGAGGCTGAGGCAGGAGACTCACTTGAGCCCAGTAGTTGGAGGTTGCTGTGAGCTGTGAAGCCACGACACTCTACCCAGGGGGACAGCTTGAGGCTCTGTC